ATTGTTACTGTACTGCCCAGAGTTCCACACATCACTGTAGTGTATAATGCATTACTTGTTCAGTAAAGCCCTTCACTCGAAAGACAAATCACCATAAAAAATGCAGAAATCCAATAAGAACAGACCAATCTGAGCAATACAGGTGATAAATTGTGATAAAAATTTCTTAAAATACTGGTTACTGATTTATATTTTCTCCTTAATGTATGAAAATGGCAAAAAGAGCTAAAATAAATAAAAAAAATAAGTTTTCCAAGTACTGTACAAGCAAACCCCGATTTGTGAAAGGGTTAAAAAAATAAAATAAAATAAATTAAAATCAATCCTATAACCAACAAATTTAGTCCAAATGATGAATGGTACCCTCAAAGCTGTCATCACAAAGACCTGAAGCAAGACCCTTGGCCAGCTCAGAAGAAAATGACCAAGAATTCGAGGTACGATATACTGTACATTAGACCCTCGACAACCTCAGATTTCTCATCCGTCGATGCCGGGTATCCTCGGTTTTTACTCTGTACCGGTATACCATTTCACCAACCACGGCATTGAATGTCGAGTATCCGTGGATTAGTGTGGCATCTTTATCCCTCTGCGATCTAATGTAATCTTCCATAAATGTGAGGAATGAAAAAATACCTGGACTAATAAATGAAAAATACTGCATTGTCATTTGGCAACCATTTCTCTAAGGGCACAAGAGAGCGCTTCCCCCTCTTCCTCCCACGATAGTCAGCTAACTCCTACGGATGTAAGAAATGGTTTACCTCTTTATGTTTTTGACCTTATACAGTAATAATCATTTCCTTCATTAATTTTTTTCACATTCTGAATGAACGATTGTGTACATGTAACAGTAAAAAAATAAAAAATAAACATATAATTTTTTTTAATAAACTACAAGTTGAAAAAGAACAATAATGCGGCTCACAGCTTAGCCTGGTATGGAGAGGCAGAGATCCCTATAACACTACACCCATCCCATGATTCAACACTTAACTCCTGTGGACATAAGAAATGTTTATTTTCTTTATGTTTATAACCTTATGATAACCACTTTTTTTTTTTTACACAGTCTGTATGAATGATTGAGTGTTCCTGTAACAGTGTTAAAAAATGAATAAAATTACGTATGTCTACATGAAAATACGAGTTGAAAAATAACAATAACACAGCTTAGGCTGGTAGGGGGTGGTAGCTACAGGGACAGTCTAACTTGACAATCTGCCAAGTCCACACACACATGTTCACTTCATACACATACACACCCATGCTCTTCATTTTTCTTATTTTATAGCAATGTGCCATCTCCATGGAGATGTATTGTAAAATTTATATTACTACAGTATTTAATTTAGATTAAATGATTTTATAAGTACAGTACTCAAATTTAATTAAATGTACAACACAGGTCTTGTTTAGTGAAGGAACAGGCAACTTAGGCCTTGACGAGTGTTATCCGCAGCCATGGGGTTTTTCAGGAACCTAACCCCTACAGTTGGTGAGGGACTACTGTACTGCCTTCAGTGACTGGAAAATTAACCCTCAGTCTCGGACCAAAGCTTATTCCTAGCTCTTCATCCATCCACATTCAAACCCAACCATTTCTTGAACCAACTGGTCTCCATCATTCACTCCACATACTAGAACCATCTCAGCCTACCTCTATGCAAAACCTCACCAATACTTACAATATCAGTAAAATTGGCCTGGTTTTGCACAATTATGCTTTGCATGCCAATTTTCAGGGATGTATCCCTATGATAAGTAAGGGACCAGTGTATAACAGCTCTTGCATTACTGTCATTAACCTTTTAAGTAATTTCTGAAGGACCAAATTGCAAAGACAAAAAAAATCTCACAAAGAGAGAAAATTAAAGACTTACTGTTGAGGTACATTGTGGTTTAATGAAGCAGGTCGTCTCCTCTTAGCAGAATATGGTAATGATATCGATGATCTCTTGAGATTGTTTCCAGAAAAGAGTGAGTGCATTATGGTGGAGTAACAATGTACCTGTTGGGTATATACGATACATCAAACAATTGAATGAAAGAATAAACAAACAATTAAATATACAAATACAGTACTGCAAGTAATCCTCATTTATCACAAGGCTTCTGTTCTTGAAAACTCTTAAGATGTGTGAAATTGCAATACTGTACTGTATGCAAAACTCACATTCCCATTAGAAACAATGGTATGCATTCCTGGCTGGGCATACATCAAAAGTTAACAAAAATTGCTATGATAAACATTAAAGCTTATAAAAGCATATTGCAAAATACAATAACGCACATTTTATGTACAGTCAACCCATCCTCTGGCCGACATGACACAGTTCAACCAGGCAGTCACCCTGCTGATTCTGAGACGTGTGACTGCTGCCATGCTGTGTATGTTATGACTTCCCATCAGGGAAGGAAGAATGCAGCTGAGTGGAGAGTTGGCAATGAAGTTATAGTTCACTGTCCCCACACACACATTCACTTCACACACATACCCATACTCTTCATTTATCATATTTTATAGTTTTATTATTGTAATGATTTTTCCACAACTTTTATAGTTTTATTACATGTAACAATGGCAACATGCCATCTATTCCCCAGTTTTCCCCTTCTCAGTGAGTCAAACTATTGCTAAACCAAATTTTGACTTAACGTTAAGTGAGAATGGGTGTCAAATTTTTTAGCGCTAAACCGAATTTAAGTGGGGTGAATAAATGCAAAATGAAGGATACCTGTACATGAACATCAAGACAGGGAGGCACCGGGCTGGCTGTGACTGCACTGTGTCAACAAAGACCCAGGAATTTAATACCATACTATATACTGTAGCTCATCTGGAGTCAAGTGGAATTTTTTTTAATTTATTATTTTACCATAATGTTTTATTATCCTAGTACCAAATGAACCAAAATAAGATGGGAATTATGGTGAAATTGCATACTGTTGTATTAATGAGGTCAGGGGGGTGGCGAATGTTCAAGAACCAATTCACTTCCTACTCTTCATTTTTTTTTGTAGTTGTATATTATTCAGTGGATATTCTACCTCTCATGGACATTTCTCAACTTACCAACCAACAACCACCACCATTTACACCCAAGTTTACCACTAGTATTATGGGCATAAAAAAACACACTTAATAAAGTTAAGAATGTATAAAAGATTTAAGTTGTAGTAATAAATAATTATATGAGAGGATTGTGGATTATGTTTCTTCACCCTCTGAAAGCTGAGCATGAACTGATGCATCTCTGCAAATTTAAAAGATTCTTGTTGACTGTTACTTTTATCCTTTTCACCACAGATCGGCTCGTTAGCTGCTTGGGAAAGGGTGCTCTGTTGGAAGTAGTTTGAGTGCATGATTAAAAATTTTCCTTGCAATAGCATTAAAAAAAAAAAACCACACACACTTGGATATTCCGTACATACAAATCAGATATGTGACAACACAAAATTGCAATACAGGTATCCCTTGCTATATGGACATTTGCTTATACGAATATTCTGTTCTTATAAAGTATTTCTTTCTCAGAGTGCATCCTCATCCCTAGAGCATTAATGAATGAAGGTAAGACACAGACTGCACTTGGGTAAATTTCAGGGTCAGTTACAGGTAGGCTTACAGTAGTGGTACCTTACCTTTCTGATGGTTTAATGTGCATCTTTTTCTTTTTGTTTCATGCACAAAATTATTAAAAATATCGCATTAAACTACCTGCAGGCTATATGTATCCATATTCGGTAAATGAGATATCCATGAATTTTGTGTTTAGACTTGGGCACAGGCCCCTCTGGGTGAGGTACCTGTACCCCATTATACAGGTATACAGTGTACAGGTATCCCAAAATCTGAAAAAATCCAGAATCCGAGACACATTCAGCCCCAAGGATTTCAGATTTGGAATTTTCAACCTGTTTACAAAAGCTATTCACTTTTTAACAAATAATGGTCCCTTAAGGAACCTAACCCATCTGTATAACGAGAGATACCAGTATGTGATTTTGGGATAAAAGAGGATTACCTATACAATGAACCCTCACCAATTCAATATCACCTCATCAGTTTAAAATTATATACAGTACAGTTATTTGCAGTCACAGGGATTTCCTTGTTATTTGCGGGTTGCCAATTTGCAGTAAACAGATGATGGCTAGCAGTGCAACGAGTCACCCTATGTGCCCGCGGCGTCTCATCCACTCTGTTTGCCCTCACCCAGTACCCGTGACCTAGCATCCCGTGTCACACTCTCAAAACTTTAGTGTTTCTTTGCGAAAATGGCCCCGAAAAGACTACCTAGTGCCAGTGCTGCTAGTGGAGTGAAACAGAAAAGGCAAAAGTCAGTGATGACCCCTGGCAAAGAAAATTGAATTATTAGACAAGTTAAAAGAGGGGGCGAGTGCTGCCGCGGTTGGCCGGTTGTTTGGTGTGAACGAATCCACAGTGCGGTACATAAGAAAGAATGAAAAAGCAATTCGTGATTCTGTTCAAGCGAGTGCTCCTGCAAGTGCTAAAGTGGCGCAGGTTGTTTGTGACAAGAACATTGTAAAAACCGAGAAAGCACTGAACATTTGGATCGAGGACTAGCACAGCAAAAATGTTCCGATAGACGGCAATGTGATTTGTGAAGAGCCTAAAAGTCTTTATGCTCATTTTTATGAGTCAACAGGTGGTGAAGGGGCTAGTGCAGTGACAACCAACTTTTAGTGCCAGTAAAAGTTGGTTCGAGAATTTTAAGAAAAGATTCTCGCTCCATAATGTTAAGCTGACTGGGGAGGCCGCATCAGCTGACCACACAGCCGCAGGTGCATTTCCCGCCAAGCTGAAGAAAGGCTATAGACCAGAGCAAGTGTTAAATGCTGATGAATCTGGTTTATATTAGAAGAAACTACCTGGTACTGTAGAACATATATAAACAAGCAGGAAAGATGTGCCTCTGGGTTCAAGGAAGCCAAGGACAGAGTGATGCTCATCTTCTGTGGCAATGCAGCTGGCTGCATTATCAAGCCTGGCTTGCTTTACCGCTCAGCAAACCCTAAGGCTTTAAAAGGAAAAACAAGAAGCTTTTGCCAGTGTTTTGGCAGTCCAACGAAAAGGCATGAGTAACTGTGCAAGCTTTCCTGGGCTGGTTCCATAAATGTTTCATCCCTGAAGTGGAAAAATACCTTGCTTCCAAGAAGATGGAATTTAAGGTGTTATTATTGATAGAAAATGCACCAGGCCACCCAGAAAGTTTGCAATTTAGCCATCCAGGTGTAGAGGTGGTGTTCCTACCCCCTAACACCATTGCTCTTATCCAACCTCTCAATCAGGGTGTAATACACACCTTCAAGGCATATTATACATACTGCTCTTTTGGTCGTATCTGTAGTGCCATGGATGAAGACCCTGACCTTGATGTTAGCAAGTGTTGGAAGGAGTACAACATTACAGACTGCATTATCAACTTCAGTGAATCATTCAGTGAGCTTAAACCAGAGACAGTGAATGCTTGTTGGCACACCTTATGGCCTGAGTGTGTGAATAACTTTCAGGGATTTCCGTCCATGGTAAAGGATGTGAATGACATTGTGAATGTTGCATGTCAGTTGGGTGGTGAGGGGTTTGTGGACATGGCTGCTGAAGATGTGGAAGAGCCGATTGGTGGGCATGGAGAGGAACTTACAGAAGAGGATTTGAAAATATATATTTAATCGTGATTTCATTGTTGACCACGACCCTTCCATGGAACGCAGCCTTTAGATGGTCCGAGGAATCAATCAAGTATTGTTTTCCTATCGGGAAATGTTTCAAGAACTGAAAGCCAAGAGGAAACAACTGCCAATCAACATTTTTTTTTTAAGAAAGAACCAGCTAGTGCTACCGCTGCCGCTCCACCCTCCTCTTCTCCCCAGCCACGCACCACCTCACCACCCTCCTCCCAGCCACCCACCACCTCACCACCCTCCTCTTCCCCTCAGCCACGCACCACCTCCCGGTCGCACACCACTCCACCAACCACCACTGATTCACCCTCTTCCACCAGTGATCTTGATGATCCACCTATGCTTCATTAACCAGATGTCTCTCTATATACAGTACACCACTTCATCAAGCTCCAGACTTCCACATACAAATGTAAGTACATTATTGTGACTTAAGTTTCTCATACACAGTATAGGTATACCTGTATATTAGTGCACTAAGGTATTACAGAAATGGCTATTTGCGGTTTTACCTATTCGCGCCATTTCTTGGAACCTATCCATCGCGAATGGCAAGGGTTTACAGTAATTATTATTCTTTGGTCACAATAGGGGTCTATAATGCTTGAAACATTCAATCAGATTTTCTCCACTCCAACAAAGGGGGTTCCAAGAAATAAATGGTCTTAGCTAAGAGGTGCTACAAAATTAAGTTAAGTACTTATTTCTCACCTTCTCCATCCAAGTATAACAGTCCAGAAGCTGGTAGTAGAGTGGTAGTTTATCTGGTGAGGGGTCCAAGGACAAGAGCCCTGTGTTACCCAGATTTACAGGGTTTGAGGGTGGATTAAGACCTGCTACTTGAGTCTCCAGTTCTCTGCAAGTTAAAAATATATATAAACAGGCTTTTCTTCCCAACTGAAATTCTCAATAGCTTAAAAAATTCATATTTTAACTGAATAATGAAGGACTGATGCTGAAATTCCATTACAACCATATCTGGCTTGGGCAACTCCTATATCAGCCAAAGACTATTGGATGAGACGCCCAATCCTACAATACGAACATGTATTTAGCCATAATCAGGGTAAAAAAAAATTTCTTTGCCTAAAAACCACATAGAGACATGAAATCACTGCCATATTAAGTGTTCGCATTTTCTGCCCCATTATTCCCATCTTCTTTCAGGCCCTACTTACTAACAAATAATTTATCACCCAAAGAACATCTGGAAAATATATTAGAAATATATAAAAGCGTTCGGGTGCTAATCATCTGCTCCACCTTTACCATACAATGAGCTAGACTTTCTCCAAATAATAAGCTTTGTATTGGGAAAAATTAAAAAAAAGCGAGGTTAGTTATTTTGGAACTACAGTATGTACTCACATTTCAATCACATGTCACTAAAACATACTAGCAATGTTTACAACCCAACAGGCTCCTTGTCATTCTGTACAGTACTACAGTGGTCCCTCGGTTAACGAACACAATCCGTTCTAGAAGGTTGCTCGTTAACCGAAAAACTCATTAACCGAAACCATTGTTTCAATGGGTTTTTGGGTAATTGGTTCCAGCTCACCGAAAATTGCCTAAATTCAACAAAAAAGGTATAAAGGTTCACTTACTTTGAGGTGTGTATGTAGAAGGCTCCTGGATGATGATGGGGATTAGAATGGGGGTGGAGGAGAAGGGAGAAGAGAAGGCATTGGGGTGGAAGAGAAGTCACCCCATGGCGCCATTTCACCCATAAAATTTTAGTTCTCTTGGTGTAATTCAAGATTATTTTCTTTAAATCAACACGGCACTGCATTACATATTGTCAATATGTAAAATAAACTTCAAAATGACCAATAATTTGCTTGTAAACACAGAAAAAAAAGCGTTTAGCTGAAGAGAGTCTCAAGCAAGATGTTACCTCCACTGAAAAGACAAAAAGACTGACGCCTATATGCTGTGTTGGCAGGCTGAATGGCGTGCCACAAACTAGTTTCTTTACCTTCAATTATGTTCAATAATTGTTAAAATTACTAAAAAATTTAATATTAAACCATTAAAATTATTGAATAGTATAAACTTCTTGATATTTACTAAAAGGGTAAGGAATTTAAGCCCTAGAACCGATTACTGTATTGGCGGACTAATACTACAGCTGTTGGACCGCCAAATGCAAGCTAAAACATGTGGAGGTCAGCTCGTAAGAAACTCGTTAATCGAGGGATTGCTCGTTAACCGAAGTTAAGAATTTTATGGAAGGTAACTCGTTAACCGAAATCTCGTTAACCGAGGGACCACTGTACAGTACAGTATTTTAAGAAAAAGCTGCGACCCACAGATATTTTGGCAAATGATAATGGTAAATGTTCTATTTTAGGTAGAATTGTTTCTTATGTTATGTGATGTGACATTTTGATTATACTGTATAGGTGTTTTTGTGACTGTATTAGCAACTTATTCTTTTCAGACAAGTCAAGAAATGAACAACGATCTCATCGGGAGTGTTTATTACAATTTATATTGCATTGAATTCGCTCATTTTCCTAAAGATGTTGTTTGGATAATAACCAAAAAATCAAAATGACAATTCACAGGTTAGGAAGATAGGTAGGTTAGGTAACATTCTAATAAGGGTATTATTTTAGTTTTGGTCATCCAGGGACTTGTACAAATTTCAGAAAGTATTTTTCACAGCAATATTGTGAAACAGAACTGGGTTTGTGGGCCAAGTCCGTTGTTGACAGGAAACATTATTGCAGTGAGGTCTGTATGAACTGGATGGAAAACCAGGAACCTATTGGTGGCCCAAATGCAATTGTAGAAATTGACGAAAGTAAGTTTGGTAAGAGGAAGTTCCAACATGACCGCTTAGTGAAGGGTATCTAGGTTTTTGGCAGCATTGAGTGTGGATCGGGCTGCATGTTCGTTGTGCCGGTTGAGAAAAAGTGACGCCGACACCCTAGTTTCTCATTGCCAGAAATTTATCACGCCAGACCACCACTATCTACAGTGATTGCTGGAAAGCCTACTCGAACTTGGGGTCCTTAGGTTATAACAAACCAAACCGTTAACAACAGCGAAAACTTTGTTGACCCTGATACTGCAGTGGAAGAGTATAAAACCCTGGGTTCTGAGGGCTGGCAACAGGGATTACCACGACAAGCACTACTTCGTTCGCTACCTGTTCTGCCACATTCACCAAGACCACAGCACAATCCTTCATCACTTCCCCAACACTGTGGCTCGCCGTTTCCTACCATCACAATAACAAACAACGGTATTATTGCGTTTTAACATCACACATTCCTACCACTAATCTATTATCATTCGAATAAGTCGTCTAATTATAAGATAATTTTCAGCTATTACATTACCGGCGCAAATGTATAATAATGGAGACAGCATATCCAAAATGTTCTCTATTTTCTTCCATTATTCTTCCGCCATTATCGCCTACCTCACCTCCCACACTGATGTCTCCTTCATAAATCATCACGCGCATGCTTTCCCGTACACGTTACGCGGCCAATCAAAAGCGTTTTTTTGGCAACCAATTAAAATGATTTTTGGTTTAATTCGCTGTAATTTTGACCCAATCAAAATCGATTTTTATTTTGGGTCTCTCATATTTCCAAATTCATATTCATTTCCGACCATGGAAGTGTGTGATGGGTGTCACTTAAATTATATGGAGCTGATTGTAAGTTATGGGAAAAAAACTAAAAAAACTGGAGCATTTTTTCGATCGCATGGTGTTCTCCCAACCTCAGTAAAGTGTCATAAGTGCAAGACAATGTAAATATCGTCAAAACCAACATATGTGGCGTTGTCCTAACTCGTCCCTTATCCCAAAGACAAAGAAGAGACAGCAATAAGGTAAGAAATAGGTGATTCCATCATATGGTGAGAGTCGGTTAGGTTAGGTTTTTGCTTTTTCTAGTGTTTTTTGGTGTATTTTTTATTCGCTTGGACATTTTTTTTTTCGGAAAACGTCCCAAGAAAAAAAATCGATAAAAAAAACCGGCCAATTTCCGCCGGAAATGAAGGTCATATTCGGTCTAAACACACACAAATACACTAGAAAAATATATTTGACTTTCTAACAGAGTGTGGTGTGCTTATGCAAATTTACCCAAATAAATCCGCCGCCCAAGCTGCATAAGCGCCGATGCAGCCGGCTGCTCTCACATCCAGAAACAACCTTAAATTACACCATATTATAGTAAGTTCTTTCTATTTAATATACCGAGGGGTCCCGGGGTTAGGTAAGGTTAGGTAGGTTTATTTGGTTAGGTTGGTGAGGTGTTTTTCATACCCACTAAGGTTAGGTTAGGTATAATTTAGAAATAACTTTTTAATACCTTTTCACAAACTAAAAGTGTCCACTATATTAAATAGTGAAATTGCAGCGTTTATAAAATCATTTTTTTGTGAAGTCGCCCGCGGGACAATCAATGATTACCACAGTGAAATTGCAGCTTTTCAAAATCGTTTTCTTTAAATTTCGGCCGCAGTTTAGTCATCAAGGTTAATATATAGGCCTAACCAGCCAAGGCTGCATAGCCCCGATGCGGCTGTATCATCTCGCGTCTAGAAAATGCCTCAAATTTCACCATATCATAGTAAGTTCTTTCTGTTTAATATAGCGGGGGGTAGAGCCCCCTTCCCCCATAAGGAAGTTAGGTAAGGTTAGGTAGGTTTGTTGGGTTAGGTGTTCTTCATACCCACAAATGTTAAGTAGCGCTTATTTAAAAAATAATTTTTTTTTAACATATTTCCACAAACTACAACAGTGGCCACTATAATATAACAATGAAAATCCGGCGTTTTCGAAATTGTTTTCAATCAAATTCGCTGGCGGGTTAATCCTAAATAATTACCGTCATCAATTATTACCCTGCCTCCTCCATTAGTTTGTGTGGATTTTCAGTTTTGGCTCTAAGGTTGACATTTTCACGAGATTACCTAAAATAGCAGAACCTGATACTTCAAAAGTTCCCCGTCTCGCTTAATGTCAATAACGGACCTCGTGACTTTATATCCGTTAAGTATTACCCAACAAGAACACTCTAATTATTGTTTTTTTCAGAAAATCTAATTATGCAACAAGTCCTGTATATTCATAAGTTAAAGCTCACCGTAAATGGCATTTAACATCAGCCATGACCTTCATTGCCTCCTCGTGTACACTGCTGTCGCCTTCATTACTGTTTTCATCTCTATTGCCTTCTGAAATGAATTTGAAAAAAAGGGTAACACTACTTCTGAGTGTCCTCAGTGTGTTCAGTGTTACAGTAAGAGTCTCAACACTCGTCCCCTCCGGTGCCGCCATGTTCACTGAGCCAGATGTACGACCTTCACGGCCAACTTCACGCCATCTCACGGCCAAACAGACGGACAGTCACTGAGCAGGGTGCCAGATGTACGACCTTCACGGCCAACTTCACGCCATCTCACGGCCAAATCTTTTTGGATGGGAAGCACAAGGCTATTTTTGCAATCCACACAAAATAAAAGTATCCCCTACAATATCCACTTAAAATGTCGTAATATAACCAAATTTTCACTTAGAATTGAGAGCCCAATGATTACATAAACATAATATCTATAATCTACAGTGAAGATTTACCTTAATCTGAAATGGTGGTGGAGCATGATAATGGTGGTGGAGCATGATAATGGTGGTGGAGCATGATAATGGTGGATAACTTGATAACACTAGTTGGCGTAAGCAAAACGTCTAGTTAGTCATCGTCCCCTGGTTTGTTATATTTTCTACCACTGTCGTAGGACCCTTTTCATTTACTAGTGGACATTTTGAAAACTAGCACTCGGAATTTCAGAAAGTAACTCAGATGGCTTTGTTAGCTCTGAAGCTGCCTATTGCAGACTCTTTATTTTCTTATGTTCTTAACTGGGGCTAGGCGTTCCAGATTGGCCACCATACCCTCCTTTGCTCCCCTCTGTAGTGCGTCGGATATTTAACATGTTGGAATAGAAAATCATCTCTCAGAGTTTCTACGAAAAGTGACTGGATTATTTAGGTCGTTTGGCGTGAATTCATTTCTCCAGTCGATGTCGCCATAATTAGTGTTCCCCATGACAAGGGTGGCTAGGGTTCTGCCCCGGTACATTGTCAATTAAGTTTCTCTGGTTTAATACACTACATTTTGGGGGTATGAACATACATCAAACAAGGAGTAAGTCTCTTGCAAGTTTCTTGGGAAAGGTTCGTAAATGAGTCATATCCAACTCACATTCCTCCGGTTCGATTCTCCTGTTTTTGTACTGTAGTGGATACCTCCCTTACAAACGCTGAGTAGCCCACCCCGCGAATTACCCAGTGTCTAGGTCAACCAGCGCCGCCTTACATGACGGAGGTCAACTACTAAGCTACGCCTACCTCCGCTACTAAAGACCTGACCTCGTGGTGACCTGCCTCTACCTACACCAACCAACACCTCCTCCTCCTCCTCCTGCCTGGCGGTCCTCCCTCCCGCCGGCGAGCATGGCGACCCACAAGCTGTCCTCCTCTGAGCATCCTCACCAACCAGCTCTCTCTACATCACCCTTGTAACCATGCTGCCTTCCCACCATTGTACATCCAATACAACATGTATACAGAGAGCACATTGTGAGTTTCCTTTCTCCACCCCATCCCGAGTGTGAACCAACAACATATACTGTACCGGGTTGATGTACCCTCAAACGCCGCTCTTTTGTCGTGTCACTATTAGTGTACATGACCTTCAAGCCGGAATTTGTCCTCTGCAATGTCTCTGGTCTTGGTATTGCAACACCGGCTCTCCTCCAGTTACCTCGGGTTAAACTTTTATCCTCTTCACCACTGATCTGCTCCTTGGGTGATCACTGTATCCCTTGTTATTTGTGGGGAGTTTTGTATTATTACGCTAAATAGCTAAGGTAACTTACGCTGAAATACCTTAGTAAGGTATAACTAAATTAATAATTACACGAGACATCAACAATTAAAAAATGTGAGAGCACTTGTAATTATTTTTGTATTTCGTTTTTCTTTAAGTCTGGATCTAAGGAAACTATATTTTTAAATTTAAGTAATAAATATTATTTTTGAAGTATGACAAATTTGAAGAAAAAAAGTGGAAGGTGAATCAGGGAATCCTACACTATAACCTAGATTATGCATCATGATTATTCACGTGACAGACCAGACATAGTTTTGAAGAAAACAAAAAAAATAATAATATAGTATTTTAAGTAAGATAAAATATTTAAAAAATATAAATGTTTCATTTATAAAATATGAAAAACAAAGACAAAAGCATGCAATGTGTCAAACACCTGGTAAGAGTGACAAAATCTTGGAACGTGCCTAAAGAAATGTCAGTTGATGGAGAGCTGTTGGAGTGGATAGACGTCAGTGTATACTTTTACTTTTTCTAGTATTCTTTATTCTTCAAAATGCCGTGGCCAAGTGAGATTGGCAGTAGTAAGTAACGTGATTATTAGTAAATAATGTACTTATATTTATATTAAATTACCTTTGCGGTAAATTTTCATTTTTAATCAATATGGCTCTCGAGCCATCAGTGTCCAAGAGGACAAACGTAAAAGTAATGTTTTTTTTTCCAATGGTTTAGGCTATTTTCTTCCATGACGTTTTTCTTGCAAATGAACTACCGGTAAAATGATCTAACTTAACCTCCTAAACTGAGCTCCTTCCCCTGGGTATCCCGGTAATATTTAAGTCATTTGCGAGGGAATCATCATAGAAGAGTCTTGAAATTGTCTAAATCATCGGTTAACACATTTGCTCAACTACATATATATATATATATATATATATATATATATATATATATATATATATATATATATATATATATATATATATATATATATATATATATATATATATATATATATATATATATATATATATATATATATATATATATATATATATATATTTATATATATATATATATACAGTGGCGTAACTAAGTGTGTGCCGCCAGGAGCATATGAGTTACTTAACCCCCATCCGTGCCCCACAAAAATACATATTGCACAGTGACTCACTCTTATATATATATACAGTATATATATTAAATAGTTGTATTACCATTATAATATTACTTTACTTTCACATACTCAAATATAGTATGCTTTAAATACACCCCAAACATACTTAAACTTTATAAGTAACAGTTAAACAAAAAGCAAAAACGACATATAGGATAGGGAAAAAAGTAAAAAAGTGTAAAAAATTAGGACCATCTTTATTTCTGAAATGAAAACTACAACTTTCTACAAAGTAACTTTTCTTGTTTTTTGTTGGCAAATTCTTCAATGACATTGTCAAAAACTATTTCATCTGTCAATTGTCGCTCTATAGACAGTATGGCAAGATTTCTCAACCGCAAGGTGCTCATAGTAGATCTTAAGTAATTCTTGATCAGTTTTAGTTTCGAAAAACTCTTCTCACAGGTAGCAACACTAACAGCAATTGTGAGGAAAATCCTCAGCATTATTACTATATTTGGAACCGAGTTCCCAAGGTTATACTTTTGAATAAACTGCAAAAGTTCAAGGGGGCCTTCTTTCCACGTCTGTATTCGGTCTTTAATAGTTATAGCAGCAACAGCAACAAAATGCTGAAGTCTTTTTCTCTCAACGAGGAACTCCTCATTATCAATGTCGTCGTGATCGTGATCTATTTGACACTCATATTTATCATCCAAAAGATTCAATGGGGTAAGGAAGGCATATTTCTCAGCAAGTTCATGAAGCTGTTGAAATCTCAAAGTTATTTCTTGGATCACTCTGTCCAGCGAAGAAAACATTTCTCTCCTCAATTCAATGTCGTATGGCAATTCAGCATCTCGTGATCCTTCACCAAACATTTGTTTCTTCTTTTTGGGTCGACGCTGACGCTCCATGACTATCCCCAGATCATTGCAAATTTCTTTGGCATAGTTAACTCCATTACTCACTAGCTTGTCCCTGTTTTCAACTAGAAATGTTTCTAATGCCCTGAGTTTTATATCACATTGTTGTATGTTCAAGCCCTTGGTTTGGAGGCAAGTCTGCGAGTCGTTAATTTCTAGAAGGACGGGTCCCCACAGGCCAAGAAAGCACAAAAAGGAAAATCATTGCAACGCACCAAGTAGAACACCAGCATCTGCCCTGGTAGCTGTATTTTCTTCTTCGCCAGTTAACTTTTCTAGGGCACTTAAGATTTTTGAGAAATGTTTCTTTACAACACTTACAGCTTCTCCCCTCGCACTCCACCGAGTTTCTATTATGCGCTTGACACTTTGACCAGTGACTGAAGTTAGAACATCCCAGCGATGGGTTGATGAAGAAAAAAATACAAACAAACGTTCCACACATCCAAAAAAGGTAACAGAATTCACAGCAACAGAAGCTGCATGAACCCCGCCAAATTCAGCGAGTGATTTGTACAAGCGACAAATTCTGCTTTTTTATTAATTTCCTTGATACATTTCTGAACACCAGTATGAACACCAGCCATCACCGCAGCATTATCATATGCTTGCCCTCTACAATTTTGAATATCAATTCCGTCTTTCTCTAATTTTTCCAAAATCATCATTGAAATATTCTCGGCGGTTTTACCTTTTGTTTCAATGAAATCGACAAATGATTCCACAACCTTCACTTTATCTCCATCGATCATAACATAGCGTAAAACTTGGCTCGTTTGATCCTTATGTGAAATATCAGGAGTGCTGTCGAATATCATGGAAAAGTACTTTGATTCTTTTACTTGCTTGATGACTTTGCTTCTTACGTTTTCTCCCAAAATTTCTATAAACTCGTTCTGAATAGTAGGAGACAGATAGGAAGTAGCAAACTTGTTTCCCAGCTGGATTCTTAGAAGATGTTCACGTAGCACTGGATCATATTTCGCCAACAAATCAACTAGCTCTAAAAAATTTCCTCTATTTTCCGTTGCTTCAGTCTCGTTTCTCTCATAATTCATTCCTTCTCGGTGGCCTCGTAAAGCCAAATTCTGTTTAGCTTGGAATCTAATAATATCAAGCAATCTTGAAAGGATTTCCTTCCACTTTTCACTTGGCTTTCAACAACTTCTTGTTCTTTTTTATCAATTGTTGCTCCACGAGCAATCCTAATTTCCAACTCCTTCCATTGTGTGAAATTCCGAACGTGAGCTGCACTGGATTCGTGCTCGGATATTCTAGGATTCAGTTTCCACCATATGTTGAATCCATCCTCAGAATTAAATTTTGAGTTACTTCTGTCTGAAAACAGTTTGCAACAAAAGCAGTAAAGAGCTTCCAGGGAAGGGGAGTACACCATCCATGATCTCAACATTCTTTCACCATTTGGCAGAGTTTGAAAAAACCACTCGCGTGTTAGTTTTCTAGTTTGTCCTTTGGTTGACACACCTTCACGAATTACTTCATCAAAATCAGAATCTAGATTTTGAA